TCAGACGCTTAACTGACTGAGCCACCCAGGCACCCCTAAATAAACTTATTTTTTAAATTAAAAAAAAAGGGGGGAGGCAGGGAGGCATAAATGACAGTGCAGGTACCCGGAGTAATGACTTCAGTGGTCTCCCCCATGGGAAGTGGTATAAAACTGTGACCAGAACCTGGGAGGAGAGTTGTGTGGGGAGGGCCTCCTTCGGAGGAGCCTCCACTGTCCCCTGAGGATGGAGCAGTCTGAGGTGACATATGGGGAAGGAGGCAGGGAGAGGAACACCCTGACCCTCTGGTCTCCTGCCCAGGCTTCCCATTGGCCAAGCCACGTGGGGGGTCGGGAACCCGGGAGAGACTGATGAAGCGCGCGCAGGGCAGCGTCTCCGGCAGAAGGAGGTTAGAGCCTGGACGGGCAGGTGGAACTAATGAGGGGCAGAGCCGGGATCCAAACACTGGACTTGGTGATGGCTACGACCGCGGCTTGGGAGCACTTGTTCGATCAACAAACATTTGATTCCCACCCTGTGGGAGGCGGCAGCATCTTCCCTGAATGATGCGTCAGACCTGGGCGGGGGCCCCGACAGGTGGGCTGTCGGAGGGAGGCTGGCTCATCCTCGGTCACAGCTGGAAAGCAACAGGTGCGAGGTTCAATCACACGTCTGCCCCCCATGCCCACGTTCTGCCCCTCAAAGCAGCCCCTTCCCACCAGCAAGTCTAACTAGGGAGAAAATCAGGCTATTCATGGAACAATGTCCTTCCAGAACTTTATAGATGTCAGGAGTTGGGACCGGAGCCCTGTGAGGCCAGCACAGGTCATTTCCCGCCTTAGGACAAGGATTGAAATAGCACCCCTGATCCTAAGTGGGCGACAGTGAGACCGTCTGGCGTGTGGTTGGGGAAGTGCCAACGCCCACGGCACAGCGTGACCAGAATCAGGAAGCGAGGCCCCCGCCCATGAAGAAGGGGGGTCTCGACCACCGCTGGGTCTGGGCCAAGAGCGGAGTTCCTCAGACAGGGCTGCGGTTTTGTTTATTGTGGGCTGGGGCTCGGGGCTCGCACAGAATGAAAATCCGAGGCGGCAGGGCCAGCGTCTGTGATGGGACAGCAGGCACGGAGTGTCTCTGCGGAGCTCGGGGCCAGCGAGGTGATCAGAACTACTCATGCAGATCAGTCCGGCAACTGGACATCACAGCCTGCGGGTGGTTCTCACGGGGATGTCCCTGAACCAGCGGGGACATCAGCTTGGGACTTGTGAGAAATGCAGGCTCAGGGGGCCGCCCCAGAGTCAGCAGCTGTGGGCATGGGGCTCGGCGACCTGTTCTTCCGAGGAGGTCGATTCTGAGGCACACTGAAGTTTGAGGACCATTCGTGGGGTCACAGATTCAGAATAGAGGTGGGGGGGGGTGCTCGCGGGCCCCTGAAAACAAAGGACTCTAAGATGCGGTCAGTGGAAGCCAGGGAGGGGGAGGGATGATTCCCCATGGAGAGGGGCCCCGCATGTGACAGACACAGATAAGAACGGGCCGTGCGTAGGTGCAGGGAGCGGTGCCACACAGCGTGAAGACTCGAACCAGGGGATGGGTCAGCTCTCCTCAAAATTCAGGGGAGGCCAGGGCAGAGGCATGAAGGGTTCGCCTAAGATCTAGAAAGTCGAGTCAATGGCCCTTGGTTTGCACTGGCTTACTTGGATTCTCACCTTTTTTTCTTCCTGCTCTTCTAATTCCTTCTTCTGACGATAAGGCCCCGCAATGTGGTAGGTCCTGGGAAAGATGCTGGGGATGGGGAGGTGGACACCCCTGGAGGGGAGGCAGAAATACAAACTGGTATTCCACTCTGGGAGAATCGGGAGGCAGAGGGGGCTAGTGCGGGTCGTGTCGTGGCAAGAGTTACAACAGGTGTAGGAAGAGGCAGGGGCCCTTCCTGGAGTCACTGTCTCATGCGTTACCGTCTTTGAGTGGGCACCCAACGTGCTCAGCAAATGGGTAGCTGGGTGTCATGCGAGCCCCGCCCCGTGCATGCGGAAGGGGCTGGAAGAGAGGCCATAACAGGTAATGGGAATGGTGGCTGAGTCCTCACTGTGTTAGACACCCTGAAGCATTTCATATCCCCACTATTTAATCCTCACCCAACCTCACTGACCTCGTGAGATAGTAAAGGACAAGCGGAAATGTTTGGTCTTCACCCTGTGGGCGATGGGCAGCCTTTGAAGTGTTTTCAGGAGGAAATGGTCTTGGCGCTATTCTCGAAGCCTCTGACTCTCAATTCTGACCGCAATGAAACTGCCTGAGGAGCTAATTAAAAGAAAATCTGATGCCAGGTCCCGCTCCCAGAGAAGGCTAGAGCTGTCTGGACAGCACATCTGACCTCCCCGAAAAGTCAGAGGGTCTGAGTTGAGACTCTGCAGGAAGTGTTTTCATTACTTGACTTTAATAGTGGCATTTTGTTTTTCTTTCAGGAATGTCCAGATCACAGGTGAGTGTTTTTTTCCTTCTCTACAGAGCTTTGTTTTGTCTGATATGCTCCTAAATGTTCACAGCTGTGCTTCCTTCGCTTAAAAATGCCCGTCACAGGGACACCTGGTTGGCTCAGTTGGATAAGCGTCTGACTTCGGCTCAGGTCGTGATCCCACGGTTCGTGGGTTCAAGCCCTGCGCCGAGCTCTGTGCTGACAGCTCAGAGCCTGGAGCCTGCTTCGGATTCTGTGTGTGTCTCTCTCTGCCCCTCTCCTGCTCATGCTGTGTCTCTCTCTGTCTCTCAAAAATAAATAAACATTAAAAAAAATTTTTTTTAATTCCTATTATATACTTGTGTCATTGGTGCGGGGACAATCCTGAGTTTTTTCTTCAGGACATGGTGTGTCTTGTTTTTCTCAAAATAACAATAAAACCAGATGCTTTATTTCACTGTCGTCTCTGTGTGGAGTGCAAGGGGTGAAACATTTTTTAAATTCTTGATTCCACCTCTGGACAGTCACTGACAAGTTGCTAAATGTGCATCAGCTACTTTCCATGCTGTTAGCGCTCACTCGTGAACACGGGCCGGTGGGGGGCGTGTTTCAATCCCACACCGTTTGTTTTCATCAGGGCTGCTTCGGTTACCCCCTGAGCATCTTCTTCATCGTGGTCAATGAGTTCTGTGAAAGATTTTCCTACTATGGAATGAGAGGTAACCATCCTCACCCTCCCTCCCCGGAGTGAAGAGCCTGACTTACCACAGCTCCTGACTTTGTCTCCCCTCTCGCCCCGCCCCCTGCCCTCTGCAAAAAGCGCTCCTGATTCTGTACTTCAGACGGTTCATCGGATGGGACGATAATCTGTCCACGGCCATCTACCACACGTTTGTGGCTCTGTGCTACCTGACGCCCATCCTTGGCGCGCTGATCGCGGACTCCTGGCTGGGAAAGTTCAAGTGAGTATTTGCAGCTTCCTTGTTAAGAAACAAGCCAAGAAGTAATTGCAGCTTTGTGGTTTGGGATGAAGGACGGTGGGAACAAGGAATCAAGGCCCATAAAACTCTTAGGAGAGCGTGTCGGGCGCTGTTTCTGCTCAGATCGTATCCCGGGTCTAGCACCGTGCCTGGCATTTGGCAGTGTGAATGCAGGTAGCCCTGGTAGGTTCTTTCCTTTCTCCAAACAGTGGTGACATCTCTGTCTCCTCTTGAAATAGTAACAGGGATACTGTCTATCATCAATCACGTGTGAAGCGCAGAGTTAAGGTCTAGAGAACAAAGAAGCTCCCTAATGTATGTGCTGGCTGCCGAAAGGCTCACACTGCTCTCTGGGCGGGGAGGATGTGGGGCATTCATCCAATTCTACAGGATCAGCTTCACGAGTGCCCCCAATAGAGGGTTACTGAGAAGTCCCCAGGACTTAATGAGCAAGGAAGTGGAGGTTCTTCTGGGCCAAATTCACTGATTCTCTCTCTCTC